CCCCAAAATCTACCAGTGGTCCCCCCCCCCCAAATACCTGCTTTCTTGTTTGATTCCTGGTATTCCTGAATGTAGTCCTGTGTGTTTCTCCACGCTGAAGAGCAGTGGTCCAATCAGAGCAGTGGTCCAATCAGAGCAGTGGTCCAATCAGAGCAGTGGTCCAATCAGAGCAGTGGTCCAATCAGAGCAGTGGTCCAATCAGAGCAGTGGTCCAATCAGAGCAGTGGTTTATAGTAATTTATTCATTTCAGTTTTTCCTGACAAATTAAAATCCACGTTATCAATTTTCTTTTTTAAATTCCTCTACAGAAATGCGTTTATTTCTTGGCTCAGGATAAAAGACTGGTTGCTTTAAAGAAAAGACTAGATCAAAGGAGCACCTGTTTTCAGAAGTGTTCCTCTGATGTCGATCCACCTCGGGCTCCAGTACAAATAAATCCAGAACTCAGAGAAACTAAACGTTTGGTAAGAACATCTTCCTGAAGTGAGTTTCAGGCGTTCGTACTGTTGACGAGAAAAAGTTCCACCTTAATGAGTCTGCAGGACTGTCTGACCGCCAGATGGGGGCAGATTTTCCAGCGGCTGAAGGATTTGGTGCTGAGTGTTTGACTTCACGTCTGTGTTTATGTCTAGAGCTGTACTACAGACGTAGGAAACACACAGGGTTGAACAACAGACGAGACCAAATCAGCTGTAAGACCTTGATGAGTTGGTTGAGACACAACAACCTTAGCGCCAAATCAGCTGTAAGACCTTGATGAGTGAGTTTTCAAAGAAGTTTGGTGATTGGTTGAGACACAACAACCTTAGCATCCCTGTTACTGAACCATGGCTAATTGGCTGAGTGCAGCTGATGCAACAACGTCTCATATATATATATATATAAATATAGACGTCATCCAACTGATGAAATATTTGCTAAAGAGTCTCCAGATATATCAGCCTGTCACCTACAGTCGTCCTTGGTGTTTCAAAGTTTCAGAAATGGGGAGGTAAAAAAAACCTCTTCTTTTATTTGAAAAAAGACAAGAAGA